GTAAAAAATATCATGATTTCTATATGTTGTAAAAATATCCCTATTTTGTTTAAAACATCCATATAGATTGAAAATATACTAAAAATGTAAAATCCAATAAACTCTCATAAACTTATATATTCGTGGTCTAACAGTTTCCTTCTCGGAAGTTCACATACTACACTTCAAATTATAAGATCTAGCTACTATGGCGTCTAACAAAGTCTCATTCTTCTTGGTTTTATGTCTATGCATTCTCTCAACTGCAGGTGACCAATTTCTTTGACATATATATCTCTTTAAACAACTCTTTTTTTTTTGCTAAAAATTAAAAAAGTTGATGTGTTCGTATTCAAAGAAAATATCATTTCTTAATCTAATAGAGTTTGGAGAAGCACACGACCCAACAGGAAGAAAATGCCCAGATCCAAATGGTGTGGACAGAAAAAGTGAATGTTCTATTTACTGTAGTAACGAAGGTTATCTCGGTGGTACTTGTCAAGGCTATTACAAGCATTATATATGTGAGTGTTATGAAGGATAAAAAAATATCTCACTGGTTTAAATTTCTACTCATATTTAATTTACACATGTATCTCTTATCAGTTTCTTATCTTAATATTAAGAATAACTAATGTGGAGCACAAGTGATTACAAATTTGGTTCTTGAAAGTTCAGGTTTCGCCCGTAATTTAACAGCTTACAAATGGAATATATTTGTTTAACCAGTATATATATAGTTATGGGAAGTTGTTAATTCCACTGACTTATCTAAAATAAGCAATTATATGCGTTAAGGCAACCTAGAGTACTGATTAAATACCCTGGATTATCGAATAATTAAATATCATATCGGAAAAAAAAAAATTGACAACAAACTTGGATTTGCCAAACCGAACCAATCTAAAATTGTTCACGGTGATTGCATCGTGGTTAAGTTTTAACCAAAAAGATTTGCAAACCAAAAAGATTTTAAAAATCCTCGGTTAATTTCTTAACGGTTGTCTTTTTTTTGTCAACGGACTCGTTCAAATTTTGAATTCCTATCTTTTCGAATGGGCCCTTTATCTTGGGCTTTTTTTGTTTTCTTTCTTTCAAATTTCGATTTTGTATTTAAACGAAAGAGGAAAAAACTGAGCCATTTGTGTAAACGAAAAGGAAGACGAAGAAAAATTAGCCGTTTGAAGAAGAAGTCTCGTTGCCTGTGTCTTCTTCTTCTTCTCCACCTTCGTTAACCGTAAGTTTTCAAACCCGAATTCGATTTTTGAATTTCTTCTCTGTGATTTTGTTAATCGATACTTATATCGTTTTCTGCGATTTTGCTTTCTCCTTATCCTCTTTTTAGTTTTAGATCGCGATTTTTGTTTCCTCGATTTTTAGGGTTTTTCTCTTAAATTGACGATCGCAGTTTGCTTTAATCAAATCATGAGTCATGCTTACTTATAACCTAGCTTGATTCGTAATAGTAGCTATGGCGATTTGTAGACGGAGATTTTAAGGGATCATAAACCCAAAGAAGAATGAAGCCTCCGACTCAATTCATATCCAATCTCCATGAAACAAAGGTGCGATCTCTTGCTTTTTTTTGTTCTCATCGTAATTAAGTTACGAATCTGATCAAAAATTGAAAAGTTTTAAGTCTGATCCAAAATTGGTCAAGTTAGTTAGTTCTTGATGAAGAACTTTAATTAGAGTGGTGAATTTTTCTCACCAAAGAAACAAAATCTAATGGTGATTACCTTTTCATCGATGTTTTGTTTCATATGTTTGTTTTGGGGTATGTTATGGAATATGCAATCTTTGCTTTCTCGTTGCTTGATATTGTGTTATCTTAGAATTTCTTATGCGTTGTTTGCAAT